CTTTCTGTTGCTTCATTGTTAGTGTATAAGAATGCAACTGATTTCTGTACATTGATTTTGTATCCTGCAACTTTGCTGAATTCATGGATCAGTTCTAGCAGACTTTTGGTGGAGTCTGTCGGATTTTCCATGTATAATATCATGTCATCTGCAAAAAGCGAAAGCTTGACTTCATCTTTGCCAATTTGGATGCCTTTGATTTCCTTTTGTTGTCTGATTGCTGATGCTAGAACTTCCAGCACTATGTTAAACAACAGCGGTGAGAGTGGGCATCCCTGTCGTGTTCCTGATCTCAGGGAAAAAGCTCTCAGTTTTTCCCCGTTGAGGATGATGTTAGCTGTGGGCTTTTCATAAATGGCTTTGATGATCTTTAAGTATGTTCCTTCTATCCCGACTTTCTCAAGGGTTTTTATTAAGAAAGGGTGCTGGATTTTGTCAAAGGCCTTTTCTGCATCGATTGACAGGATCATATGGTTTTTCTCTTTTTTTTTGTTAATGTGATGTATCACGTTGATTGATTTGCGAATGTTGAACCAGCCCTGCATCCCAGGAATGAATCCCACTTGATCATGGTGAACAATTCTTTTTATATACCGTTGAATTCGATTTGCTAGTATCTTATTGAGAATTTTGGCATCCATATTCATCAGGGATATTGGCCTGTAGTTCTCTTTTTTTACTGGGTCTCTGTCTGGTTTAGGAATCAAAGTAATACTGGCTTCATAGAATGAGTCTGGAAGTTTTCCTTCCCTTTCTATTTCTTGGAATAGCTTGAGAAGGATAGGTATTATCTCTGCTTTAAACGTCTGGTAGAACTCCCCTGGGAAGCCATCTGGTCCTGGACTCTTATTTGTTGGGAGATTTTTGATAACCGATTCAATTTCTTCGCTGGTGATGGGTCTGTTCAAGCTTTCTATTTCCTCCTGATTGAGTTTTGGAAGAGTGTGGGTGTTCAGGAATTTGTCCATTTCTTCCAGGTTGTCCAATTTGTTGCCATATAATTTTTCATAGTATTCCCTGATAATTGTTTGTATCTCTGAGGGATTGGTTGTTATAATTCCATTTTCATTCATGATTTTATCTATTTGGGTCATCTCCCGTTTCTTTTTGAGAAGCCTGGCTAGAGGTTTGTCAATTTTGTTTATTTTTTCAAAAAACCAACTCTTGGTTTCGTTGATCTGCTCTACAGTTTTTTTAGATTCTATATTGTTTATTTCTGCTCTGATCTTTATTCTTTCTCTTCTTCTGCTGGGTTTAGGCTGCCTTTGCTGTTCTGCTTCTATTTCCTTTAGGTGTGCTGTTAGATTTTGCATTTGGGATTTTTCTTGTTTCTTGAGATAGGCCTGGATTGCAATGTATTTTCCTCTCAGGACTGCCTTCGCTGCGTCCCAAAGCGTTTGGATTGTTGTATTTTCATTTTCGTTTGTTTCCATATATTTTTTAATTTCTTCTCGAATTGCCTGGTTGACCCACTCGTTCGTTAGTAGGGTGTTCTTTAACCTCCATGCTTTTGGAGGTTTTCCAGACTTTTTTCTGTGGTTGATTTCAAGCTTCATAGCATTGTGGTCTGAAAGTATGCATGGTATGATTTCAATTCTTGTAAACTTATGAAGGGCTGTTTTGTGGCCCAGTATATGATCTATCTTGGAGAATGTTCCATGTGCACTCGAGAAGAAAGTATATTCTGTTGCTTTGGGATGCAGAGTTCTAAATATATCTGTCAAGTCCATCTGATCCAATGTCTCATTCAGGGCCCTTGTTTCTTTATTGACCGTGTGTCTAGATGATCTATCCATTTCTGTAAGTGGGGTGTTAAAGTCCCCTGCAATTACCACATTCTTATCAATAAGGTTGCTTGTGTTTATGAGTAATTGTTTTATATATTTGGGCGCTCCGGTATTCGGCGCATAGACATTTATAATTGTTAGCTCTTCCTGATGGATAGACCCTGTCACTATTATATAATGTCCTTCTTCATCTCTTGTTACAGCCTTTAATTGAAAGTCTAGTTTGTCTGATATAAGTATGGCTACTCCAGCTTTCTTTTGGCTTCCAGTAGCATGATAAATAGTTCTCCATCCCCTCACTCTCAATCTAAAGGTGTCCTCAGGTCTAAAATGAGTCTCTTGTAGACAGCAAATAGATGGGTCTTGTTTTTTTATCCATTCTGATACCCTATGTCTTTTGGTTGGCGCATTTAATCCATTTACATTCAGTGTTATTATAGAAAGATATGGGTTTAGAGTCATTGTGATGTCTGTATGTTTTATGCTTGTAGTGATGTCTCTGGTACTTTGTCTCACAGGGTCCCCCTTAGGATCTCTTGTAGGGCTGGTTTAGTGGTGACAAATTCCTTCAATTTTTGTTTGTTTGGGAAGACCTTTATCTCTCCTTCTATTCTAAATGACAGGCTTGCTGGATAAAGGATTCTCGGCTGCATATTTTTTCTGTCTAGCACACTGAAAATCTCGTGCCAACTCTTTCTGGCCTGCCAAGTTTCAAAAGAGAGATCAGTCACGAGTCTTATAGGTCTCCCTTTATATGTGAGGGCACGTTTACCCCTTGCTGCTTTCAGAATTTTCTCTTTATCCTTGTATTTTGCCAGTTTCACTATGATATGTCGTGCAGAAGAGCGATTCAAGTTAACGTCTGAAGGGAGTTCTCTGTGCCTCTTGGATTTCAATGCCTTTTTCCTTCCCCACTTCAGGGAAGTTCTCAGCTATTATTTCTTCAAGTACCCCTTTAGCACCTTTCCCTCTCTCTTCCTCCTCTGGGATACCAATGATGCGTATATTATTTCTTTTTAGTGTATCACTTAGTTCTCTAATTTTCCCCTCATACTCCTGGATTTTTTTCTCTCTCTTTTTCTCAGCTTCCTCTTTTTCCATAACTTTATCTTCTAGTTCACCTATTCTCTCCTCTGCCTCTTCAATCCGAGCTGTGGTGGTTTCCATTTTGTTATGCATTTCATTTAAAGCGTTTTTCAGCTCCTCGTGACTGTTCCTTAGTCCCTTGATCTCTGTAGCAAGAGATTCTCTGCTGTCAGCTATACTGTTTTCAAGCCCAGCGATTAATTTTATGACTATTATTCTAAATTCACTTTCTGTTATATTATTTAAATCCTTTTTGATCAGCTCATTAGCTGTTGTTATTTCCTGGAGATTCTTCTGAGGGGAATTCTTCCGCTTGGTCATTTTGGATAGTCCCTGGCGTGGTGAGGACCTGCAGGGCACTTCCCCTGTGCTGTGGTGTATAACTGGAGTTGGTGGGCAGAGCCGCAGTCAGACCTGATGTCTGCCCCCAGCCCACCTTGGGGCCACAGTCAGACTGGTGCGTGCCTTCTCTTCCCCTCTCCTAGGGGCGGGATTCACTGTGGGGTGGGGTGGCCTGTCTGGACTACTTGCACACTGCCAGGCTTGTGATGCTGGGGATCTGGCGTCTTAGCTGGGGTGGGTAGGCAAGGTGCACAGGGGCAGGAGGGGCAGGCTTAGCTTGCTTCTCCTTAGGTGATCCACTTCAGGAGGGGCCCTGTGGCAGCAGGAGGGAGTCAGATCCGCTGCCGGAGGTTTGGCTCCGCAGAAGCACAGAGTTGGGTGTTTGCGTGGAGCGAGCAAGTTCCCTGGCAGGAACTGGTTCTCTTTGGGATTTTGGCTGGGGGATGGGCGGGGAAGATGGCGCTGGCGAGCGCCTTTGTTCCCCACCAAACTGAGCTCTGTCGTCCGGGGGCTCAGCAGCTCTCCTTCCCTTTGTCCTCCAGCCTTCCCGCTTTCTGAGCAGAGCTGTTAACTTATGACCTCCCAGCCGCTAAATCGCTGTTGCTGTCGGAACACAGTCCGTCAGGCCCCTCCGCTTTTTGCAAGCCAGACTCGGGGGCTCTGCTTGGCCGGCGAGCCGCCCCTCCGCCCCGGCTCCCTCCCGCCAGTCCGTGGAGCGCGCACCGCCTCGCCGCCCTTCCTACCCTCTTCCGTGGGCCTCTCATCTGCGCTTGGCTCCGGCGACTCCGTTCTGCTAATCCTCTGGTGGTTTTCTGGGTTATTTAGGCAGGTGTAGGTGGAATCTAAGTGATCAGCAGGACGCGCGGTGAGCCCAGCGTCCTCCTACGCCGCCATCTTCCCTCCTTTTTTTTCTCAAATTTCTCTGTATGAGTTTTTTATAAGACATTGAAATGGAGATGTTGAGTAAGCAACTGAATATCCCGTTGGAATTTAGTGCAGAGATATAAATTTGGGAGTCATTTGGATATAGGTTATATCTCAATGAGGATGGCTGAGGTCACCAGTGGAGTGTGTGTAGGTAGAAAATGGAAGAGGTCCAAGGACTGAGTCTGAGGTACTTTAATATTTAGGGATCAGGAAGAGAAGAGGAAATGAAAAAGATTGGCTAGTTTAAGAACAAAACCAGGAAGGTATGATGCCATGAAAGCCAAATGAAGAAAGAGGTAGAACTGATCTTTTTGTCAACTGTGACTGATAGGTTAAATAGCTAGAAGACAAAGAATTGACTGTTGCACTTAGCAATATGGAAATCACTGGGGGTGTTGATAAGAGTAGTCTTGATGGGAGTGCTGGGAATGAAAATCTGATTTGAGTGGGTTCAGGAGAGAATAGAGAAGTGAAATTAAAGATAGTAGGACTTCTAGGAGTTTTGGTGTACAGAGAAAGGAAGAAACATGATAATAGCTAGAGGGAAAGTGAGGTCAAGAGACACTTTTTTTTTCTCTTTGTTTCTAAGGTAAAGATATAGCAGATAGTAGGCTGATAGAAAAGACATAGGAGAAAGAGAAACTGACAATCAAAGAAAGTAAGCAAATAATTGCAGGAACACTTCTTAAATAGGTGAGAAAGGATGGAATCTAGTGTTTAAGTAGAGGGATTGGCCTTTGCCAGGAGCACTGACACTTCAACCATAGAAATGAAAAGAAATAAAGGTGAAGGTAGATGGGAAGATGTATTTATGGGAGAATTTGAAATTTTTCTTTTGTTTGCTTTCTATTTTTTCAGTGAAACAGCAAATAAGACAATCAGTTGGGATAAGGATTGGGAAGGAGTTGTTGGAGGTTTGAGGAGAGAGAAGATATGGAATAACCATTTAGGATGGCATTCAACCAACTGTGGCCTGTAGGCCAAATGTGGCTTGTCATCTCTCTTGAAAATAAAGTTTTGGGAACACAGGCGTGCCTCCTTGTTAATATATTGTCTATGGCTGCTCTTGCACTACAGTTTCAAAGGTGAGTAGTTGTGACAGAAATTGTATGTCATGAAAAACCTAAAGTATTTACTGTTTGGTCCTTTCCAGAAGAGTGATGCTGACTCTCGGTTTAGGAGGAAGGAAGGGAGAATGGGGGTGTCTATGAAGACTAGAAACATAGATAATATTCTATTTTTTTTTTACAGAATTAAGATATAATTCAACTGGGGAGTTTCACTGTAAAAGACAACTTTTGTTGTTATACTGATAATTTTTTTTTCTCAGATTATCAAAATGACATCTCAAAATTTGAAGATTCTAATTTCACTCTCAGATCTCAATTTAAGAGACAAAGCAATAGGGAAAAACTTCATAAAGCTAAAATAATTGCACATTTTAATGACAGCTATGCAAAATAAGCTCTTCAGTAGACTCTGAAGCCCTATCCCCATAAAAATGAACTTACACAAAACTCTATACTTAAGTACCTGGCGTTAATACTTTATGCCTGTTATATCCCCAAGGGATAGTCTAGCTATTCATACTAATCTCTTACTAAATTCTCATTACTATATATAAGCTATACATAAGAAGTACCTGGAGTGCTTTAGAAAATAATGAAACCTCCATAGATTCTGATGAAATTGGTCTTCAGTGTCACCTGGACATCAGAGTTGGTTTTGTTTTTTTTTTTTTAAGTGTGGTGAAATACACACAGTATAAAGTTTTTATTAGTGACATTTAGTATATTCACAATGTTACAGAACTATCACTGTATCAAGAATGTTTTTGTCACTCCAAAAGGAAACTTTTTACCTTTAAGTCACTTCTTATTCCCCCTCAATTGCTAGTGTATAGAAATAAAATGGATTTTTGTGTGTTGATATTGTATCCTGCAACTTTGCTGAATTCATTTATAATCTAATAGTTTTTTGTTGTGTATTCTTTAGGATTTTTTTAAATGTATTATATCGTGTCATCTTTTCTAGTTTGCATGCTTTTTGTTTCTTTTTCTCACCTGATTGATCTGACTAGAACTTCTAATACAATGCTGAATAGCAGTGGTGAAAGTGGGTATGCTTGTCTTATTCCTGATCTGAGGGGGAAGGTTTTCAGTCTTTCTCTATTGAGCATCTTGTTAGCTGTGGGTTTTTCATAAATTCCTTTTATATTATTGAGGAAATTCCCTTCTATTTCTAGTTTGCTGAGTGTTTATGACTACATTAATGAGGAATATTGGCCTATAGTTTTCTTTTCTGTGGTGTTTTTGGCTCTGGAATTAGAGTAATGTTGGCCTAATAGAATGAGTTAGGAATTGTTTCCTTATCTTCTATTTTTTTCGGGGCAGCTATGAAGGGTTTGTTTTAATTTTTTTAAATATTTGGTAGAATTCAACAGTAAAATAATTTGACCCTGGACTTTTCTTTGTTGGGAAGTTTGTGATTGCTGATTCAGTCTCTACTTGTTATAGGTCTATTGAAATATTCTATTTATTTTTCTGTTAGTTTTGGTAATTCATAACTTTGCAGAAATTTCCTCATTTCATCTAGGTTACCTAGTTTATTTGCTTATAATTGTTCATACCATTCTAATTTTTTTTTTATTTCTGTAAGACTGGTGGTAATGTCCCCACTTTTATTTCTGATCTTAGTTACTTGCATCATCTCTCTCTCTCTCTCTCTCTCTCTCTTTTTTTAGTCTGCCTAAACATTTGTCAATGAAACATTTTGTTGATCTTTCTAAAGAACCTAATTTTGGTTTCATTGATTTTTCTCTCTATTCTATTTTATCTTTATTATAACTTTTATTACTTTTCCCAACTGTCTTTGACTTTAGCTTTCTTTTCTTTTCTTTTCTTTTCTTTTCTTTTCTTTTCTTTTCTTTTCTTTTCTTTTCTTTTCTTTTCTTTTCTTTTCTTTTCTTTTCT